CGGGATGAAACAGGTAAACACTGATTAACTATCTATAGAGAAATTAAATCATAATGAAAGCTCAATTTTGCTAGCATAGCTGCAATGCTGATTTTGAGATGATAAAAATCAGGTTGCAGAACGTTATTTCTCTAACTATGATGTTAGTTAGGCCTGACGTTTCAGGCTCATAAAGACATATTTATGGTCAACTATGACAGAAAAGAGACGATCAAGTTTGGTTGAACTCAAATCAAAACGCACAAAGGGATTGGATCTAAATACATTAGTGAAGCGTTTTGCTGAGCAACATTCAGCTGTTATAGTCATGGTAACTTTATGTTATGCTCTCTGGTGAGCCTTTACAGAGCTGTTATATTTTGTTTTGGCACCTGAGAAAATCTGATATTTCCTGTAATAAAACCAAAAGTGTTAAAAGTAAAGTTAAAAATGTGATACTGGTGTAAATCCTGCTTAATACGAAGCAGCGTTGTTTCTGTTTTTGTATATATAGTATGAAACTATCCAGAAATGACCTCTTTGAACCTACTCACAAAATGTTTTGTACTTTTCAGACTGGAAGCAAAATGTATTTTTATTTTGCTTCTTTTCAGATTTGTGGAGTTTTGGAGGTAACATACAGTACCTGCCTTTTTGTTGATTTGTTGATACAGCAGCTCTATCTACAGCATATTTACATGCATGAAATGTCCCTTTCATGTTGCCTTAACTGCTGTATGTCAAGTTACTGAGGAACAAATGGGGTGAATGTGTGTTCAGACTAAACATTATATAGATTTCTGGTAACTTGTTTGGGTGCCTTGACCCATTTTATTTCTACTGTGTAGTTCTGCTCACTTTAGTACAGCTCAGTCCATAGATCTCTGATGGGTAACTTAGAACCTATTTACCGGACCCGATGTTTACTTTTTCTGGAATCGGGAGTCATAGTGTTTTTCTGAAGCAGTGCTTGGTTATTTGCAGAAGGGCACATCAGTGCATTGAAGGCAGAGTGAGGCAGGGCACATTTAGTTCATCATGTGACCAGCCATGGTTACCATGGCACGGTAGATCTAGTTTATTATTATTTTGGGCATGCACACACACACAAACACACACATGCACATAGATACAAGCACACAATAAATAAATAAAAAAAGGCAAAAGGGAACTTTGGGTATAAAGGAGCTTAGCGGCAGGTGCTAAAGCACCCTCAGCCCCCCCCTCTGCTCACACCAGCTCCTGATCACACCGCTCCAGGTATTACCGTTATTTTGCACATGGGAATAAAGATTCCCGAGCAGAAAGATAAAATCCAAACCCCCCTCGCAGGCATACAAGGTAGGTCTGGCACTTCTTCCCACCTCTTTGCCTCTGAAAACAGTCAGAGACCTCCACCCTATCTGAAGGTGCAGGGGGGCAATGTCTTCATTTATTGCTCCATGGTAAAAATCACTAGAAAAAACAGGCACTTTGTCAAACATTTACCATAAGCAAAGGGGAGCAGGAAGAAAATCAGACCATGTTTTGTCTGCCCCAACCAAAAAACTTAATAACCTTTGCAAAGCTGATTACAGTAGAAACAAAGCAATGAAATAACAAACTTTTTTGTTCTTTTTTTAATGTGCATATTACAAGCTGTTGCCTTTATTTACATGAGAAAACACGTTCAAGCTGAAGGTGGATCAGGTATAGTTTCTGTACTACATTTACTACAACAGTAGCTTGCTAAGCCCAAAAGCAGTGAGCTTTTTGAATTTGGGTGAGACTGAGGCCAGTTTGTAATGATTCCTGAAGCAACCTGCACCAGAGTCCAATAGGAAGTGGATCAGACCATTTCAGCAAGTAAGACTCCATCCAGTTATTTGGTCTGGACCAGATTTTCCTGGGCTTAAATCCAGTGTTGGGAAAGTTCTCTTTCTACGTGAACTAGTTCAAAGTTCAGTTCACACATTTTAAAATGAACTAGTTCAGTTCATAGTTCAAAATTTTGAACTAAGTTCACAGTTCCAAAAAATGAACTAGTTCATAGTTCTTTTTTTTTTCATATATTGCTCAATTACACCATAGCCTACTGTAGAACCACAGACAGCAATTATTTTATCAGTTGTAACACTGAAACTGTGCGTCAGATTTCATCTTCATATCCAGTTTTGAATCCTTATCCAACCAGGGTTTACATTAGCATTGAGGGGACAGCATTTTCCCATTGTTGCTTTAACGCTTTGTTGCTGTCCATTCACTTCACACTAGTAGCAGCTGCAGCTTTCACCCCTACAGTATATTCTCAAAAACATCAGGAAAAATGTGCTGCTAGAATGGTCTTTTTTATGAGGAATTATTAAAAGAAAAACAGGAAAGTAGTCTTTAAGGTGCAAATGTTTTTTAAATTTTAATATTTTTTTCCATTTGAAATTCTATTTCAGTACATATGCCGTTTCAGATTTGCTTTGGATGTTACTGAAGTGCGGATTTTTTTACTGAAAGCCGGCGGGCAAAGTTTGCAGAGAAATGTCAGATTGTTGCCATCATCCTCACCGACCACCTGGTCATAAAACTGTTTTAAGTGATCATACTGCTGCTTTGTCGCCTCCACGGTCGCCTCCATGCTGCTGTGGCTTCCACGCTGCATTTTGTTTAGATGACGCAAGCGGCTGTAGGCTACGACGCTGGTAGCTGGTGTTGCCAGATTGGGTGTTTTTCCCGATACATATTAAGGCCTGTTTATGGTGTGATTTAGCCGGGGTTTCGCCTGGAGGACTCTATAGAAATCTGGCAACCTATTGAACGGAGTTGAACTGAGAGAGCGTGCCGTTCACAGACACCAGAATGAACGAGTTCACAATAACGTTCATCAGGCAGTAATACAGTACGTTCAGTTCACGTTCGCCCAAAATATGAACGAGTTCATGAACTTTCGTTCAATGAACGCTTTCAGGCACAACACTGCTTAAATCAGACCTGCACAAAAGATCAGAACCAAGAGGAGGAAACAAACTCTGGTCGATTTAGCTTAATAGGGCTTATTAGTGCTTTTTATAAAGCTATGCGCCACAGAAAGTGCTTTAGAAGAAATCAGCTGATTATAACAGACTCTTTCCCTTCCTACCCACCAATAAAGAACATTGTCAACAACAACAAAAAACAGACCATAAATAGATTTATGGAGGAAGAAGACAGAAGAGATCTTACAACGGATTCAGAGGATAGCTTTCATTTTTTTCTATCTTGTTTGAGAAAATACTCAAGCATAATATCAAACATAGAGGATTTTTTAAAATGACAATGCCCATAACAGAACATTCTAGAATAAGTACGGAAACATCTTTTTATTATGTAATCCCTCAGGTTATCCTAAAAGATTCAACAAATATAATAAAAATACATAGAATTGCAGGTTCTTTTCTTTTTAGAATTATAGCTGAAAGTTTATTTATTTCAAAAACTCAGTTCAATAATGCTCACTTTAGTCCAGCTCAGTCCATAGATCTCTGATGGGGAACTTTTTCTTTCTATAGTTTCTTCTTGTGCAAATGCTGCAAAGCTGCCTCTCTGACAGTCAATCTCACTCATCTGAGACTCAGCACCTGTGTCTTACCTTAATACCTTTCTAGTTATAATGCACCACTAGAAGTAGTGTTATCATTCTTCTATCTCCCACTTGGTGAGATCACATTGTACGATGTATTATTAATATGAACTGTTTCACATGAAACACTTACTGTACATAGTATTCTCACCAAACTGTGATAACTGTGATTAAATTCAGTGTAAACAAATGCCATATGTTGCCACCCCTCAAAAATTCCTGCCCCCCTCGCCACCCCATAGATATTTTTCTAGATCCGCCCCTGCCCAGGGGGCTGTGTAGGCTAATATATTAGTGGTTATAGCAGTGCGCTTGTGCTCTGAGAAGGTTGCAAGTACCCAGTTTGATCCCCACAGCCTGCATTCTGTGCTGTGCTACAAGTGCTACAAGTTTGGTGGCACTGCAATGATCTAAAGTGTAATAATTGGCTTTTTTATGCTTATAATAACAATGAAAAATCTAAAAAAAAAATGTAATAGCCAATAATTACAATGTATATCATTGTAGTTCCACAAAACTTGTAGCACACATAGATAACCTCATCTAGTTCAGACTACAACTCTTACTTTTGGAATAAACCTTTGCAAAGCTAATTACAGTAGAAACATAGCAATGAAATAACAAACATCTGTGTTCAATTAAAGTAATAAACATATTTTTCTGAAACTATCAATTCATATCCGTCATATCAGATAAACAATACACCTTGTAACATTTATACTGGCTTAATATAATTTGTTTACACATATATATGAATTGACACATTTTGTTACAACTTTTAAAATCTTCAAAAAGTGAATTTCACAGTTTTATCCCAATTATGCTTTTGTTCTGGTAAGTTAATTGAAACCTTTTGAACCGCTCTTCGTCTGGCCCGTCACCCAGAACCTGTTTGCCATGGGAGACCCTACCAGGGGCATTGAAGCCCCCGACAACATAGCCTCTGGGATCACTGAACACTCAAACCCCTCCACCACGATAAGGTGGCGGTTCAAGGAGGGGATTTTTTTTTTTTTTTTTATTGTTTTTTTTTTTGTCTTTTTTTAATATGCATATCAAAAGCTGTTGCCTTTATTTACATGAGAAAACAGTTTGAAGCTGGATTTTTCATAAGTGCTTCTGGCAACCTGGTGGCCTGTGTTTGTCTAGTAGCCTCTGTAGGGAGGAAATCTTCTGTTGGCCTGCAGGCCTCTGGTCGGATGGTGGTTTCCATGTGTGGGGGGGCCTTGGTTCATGTACAGTCCTGCGTCTCGATGGTGGCTTGTATGCAGATGATGGCCAGCATTGATGTAGACGCTTGGGTTTGGGTTGAAGCCTCCGTTTGGATTCTGTCTCCTGTTTTCATGGTGGGGGCCTCTAACTGTGGAACCACATCTGTTTCTTTGGGGCCTGTTTTGCATGGGCGCCTCTTTTTGACAGGAAGCTTCAGTTTTCATGGACTCCTCTGTTTGTGAGGAAGCTTCATGATGTTCTTTTTTCAAAGGAAGTTTCAACTCTGCGGACAATTGTGAGACTTGAGTTTTCAAAGACTTGATCAGTTCCTCCTGTTTCTTGAGTCTGGAGTCATTTTCAGTTTTAGTATTCAGCTGTTCCTCATATTTGAGCCTCAGCTCTCGTTCTTCTACAAAAGCCTCTGCCATCCTCCCTTCTCTACTGGCGTTTTTCTCAGCCTGCCTCTTCAGGAAGGCGAGCTCATGCAGGACACTGACGCACACTGTAACTGTGGGAATGCGTGGTAACTTTGACGCACCTGTAGGCTGGGTTACAGTGAATGTTTCCTGCTTCTCCTCTTTCTCTTCACTTTTGAGTCTCATGCTACGTTCACGTTCTAAACTTTTTTCCAGTTCTGCGATTTGTTCCTTCTGAGCTTTGCAGTCAACCTGAAACTCGATTCTTTGTTCTCTCTCCTCATGCAGATCACAAGTCCTCTCGTGCAGCTCTGTTTTTAGAGCAGTAACCTGCTGAGTGAGGTCGTTGATGTGTTTGAGAGCCTCTTCGATGCACATCGAGCGAGGGCTCATCGTAACCGCTGATGCATGGCGTGGCATCCTGTTGCTTTGATAGAACTTGGGGCGGTCAACATCAGTTTTCCTGTTGGCCCCGGTGTGCCATGGCTTTCTCTTGTTTTTATCTGGTTTGGAAGACACATAATGAAGTGGGTTATCAAAATGTGGAGAATCTGCATGTTTGTATTGACCAACAAAATGCTTACCATGATGGTGTGAGTACGGTGCCTCAGAAGAAAGACCCGCACTGGGCTTAGTCTTTGGTTCTTCTAACCTCGGAGATGGCTGACATGCTTGCTGGACCTCATCTGAGTTAAGAGACGTAGATTCAGCAGCGAGAGATGAATTCAGCTGAACCTCCGCTAAGGGGGGATCCTCAAGGGTAGCAGAAGAAACGGTTTCCCCTTGGATCTCTGGACCGTCTTCTGCTTTGCTGAGATGAAGCTCGCTGGTGACAGAGCTGTCGTCTTCAGCTGGGAAAATAATGGCCTCATAGTCGACCTGGATGGGGAGGTCCACCATGTCTTCCCATGAAAGTTTAGCTGGAGAGGTTTTGTTTCCAAAAACAAACTGTTTCTGCTCCATGGCTAACTTTCAATCAATCAGAATATCGACCTAAAAGGCGTGTGATATCTGAGAACGATGTTTGGCTAGTTTCGCTAAGATTCGAACGTGCTTCTCAAAAGCGATCTGTCTTGATGAAGGTCTGGAACAGATAAGACCACTGAGCTCAGATCCCTTCCAAAGTCTGTGATGTCATCAGCAGTCTCTTTGTGACATCACATGCCAGGTGTTATCCAACATTCTAATCCCAACTGCCGAACACGGAATGCATTTTTTAAAATAGTTCAGCAGTTTTTTTAAACAATAACTTTCTTCTTTGTTCAATTTGGGTTATTTCTGGTTTTCTTTTATTGATCAAATAAAAAGTTATTCAAAGAAAAATATATGCTTTGAAATGTAATTTTCCTTGAATATTTTTTAAGATTTCTCATAGTTTTGTATTTCAGTTTTACAATCAAATACAGACATTTATAAACATTATTTAACTAAAGTATTACTGTCTTCAAAGACCTCATTACCTACCTTATACCACCCAAGAAGATTCAACACATGTTGGTAACGATGTTGCTAGGCAACATAAGGTGGATCAGGTATAGTTTCTGTTCTACATTTACTACAACAGTAGCTTGCTAAGCCCAAAAGCAGTGAGCTTTTTGAATTTGGGTGAGACTAGGGCTGGGCGATAATTCAATAACGATATATATCAATTGATAGACGTGTGTCGCAATAGAAAAAAAGCGGGTCGATAAAAGTTCGATAAAGAAATGCAGTTTTCCTTCCTTCTCATTGTAGCCTAGCATGTAGGTTTATGCTAGTCACTACTTCCTCCCAACCAATCGCAATCGCGGACCCAGGCACGCCATCACCAAGCGCCGCCCTCTCAAACCACAACAAAGAGCACATGAAGATGTCGCAGCAAGGAGAGGCGGAGGAAATTGTTCTAAACAAGGGTTTTTGTAGTTCGCCAGTCTGGCAGTATTTCGGTCATGGCAAGTCGGACTAAAAACAAACCACAGTCATCTGTAAAATGTGTCGGGAACCAGTGAAAACGAAGTCTGATAACACAACCAACCTTTTTTTATCATCTCGGCCGCTCACACCCGCAGGAGTACGAGCTGTTTAGGTCCTGGCGCGGCTCTGCATCACCTCCGAGGAATCTCCGGGAATTTCGGGAAAATATCTAGATATTTTCAGTTCTGGGCAGTTTCCCACGTAGTTCTAACAATTGAGAGAAAAGTGCTGAGGGGCCAGCAACTTCAAAGTAATTACTCAGGTTAAAGCAGGAAACTAAGCTGAACCAGGTTCAGCTTAGAAGAATGCGGGCGGGGGAGGGGGGGGGGGGGCATCCATTTATATATTAGTTATATTTATTTTGGTCACTTTTCAATTCAATTCAATTCAATTCAGTTTATTTCTATAGCGCCAAATTCACAACACATGTCATCTCAAGGCACTTTACAGTTCAACCAGATCATCCAGTCAGATTGATTCAAAGTTTTCTATCTAAGGAAAACCAGTTGATTGCATCGACTCATTGACTCTTCAGCAATCCCTCACACTAAGCATGCTTGTAGCGACAGTGGAGAGGAAAAACTCCCTTTTAACAGGAAGAAACCTCCAGCAGAACCAGGCTCAGTGTGAGCGGCCATCTGCTGAGGCCGACTGGGGTTCAAGGAGACAGAAGCAGAGATACAAAAAGCAGCTGTAAAAGGCGGCCCCGTCCAGGAAACACACAGCCAGGCAGACGAGCTCCAAGGCAGCTCCCATGCCAGAGGACGAAGAGAGCACATCCACTCAGTCACGGTCAGAGAAACAGGACCACACTGGAAAACAGGCCGATCTCCAACATCTATTAACAAGGGTGTTGATAGAAGCAGCACAGCTGATGTTTTTTTCCAGGATGACGTCACAGCCAAACAGGAACAGACGAGGCAAAGCTACTCTGAGGAAAAGCAGAGAGAGCAGAAGGTTAGAGATTGAACTAACAGATTCTGCAGAATAGGAGAACAGAGAGAGAATGAAGCAGAATGATGAAATGGGGGTCCCTATGTCCTCCAAAAGTCTAAGCCTATAGCAGCATAACTATAGAGATAGCTCAGGATAAGCTGAGCCACCCTAACTATAAGCTTTATCAAAAATTAAAGTTTTAAGCCTAGTCTTAAAAGTAGACAGGGTGTCTGCCTCACGGACTAAAACTGGTAGTTGGTTCCACAGGAGAGGAGCCTGATAACTAAAAGATCTGCCTCCCATTCTACTTTTAGAAATTCTAGGAACCACTAGTAAACCTGCAGATTGAGAGCGAAGTGCTCTGTTAGGAACATAAGGAACAATAATATCTCTGATATCAGATGGAGCTTGGCCATTTAAGGCTTTATATGTGAGAAGGAGGATTTTAAATTCTATTCTGGATTTAACAGGAAGCCAATGAAGAGAAGCCAGGATAGGAGAGATATGATCTCTCTTTTTCATTTTCATTAGAACTCTGGCTGCAGCATTTTGGATCAGCTGAAGGCTTTTAACTACAGTTTGTGGACTTCCTGATAGTAAAGAATTACAATAGTCCAGCCTTGAAGTAACAAATGCATGGACTAGTTTCTCAGCATCACCCCTGGACAGGATATTTCTAATTTTTGCAATGTTCCTCAGATGAAAGAAGGAAATTCTAGAAACCTCTTTGATATGGGATTTAAATGACAGGTCCTGATCAAAAATAACACCAAGATTTTTTACTTTATTATCTGAAATCAGTTTAATCCCATCCAAATGAAGTGACTGGCTAATCAGTTTCTTTTTCAGAGACTCTGGTCCAAAGACTATAACTTCTGTTTTGTCTTCATTCAGAAGCAGAAAGTTAAGAGTCATCCAGGTTTTTATGTCTTCAAGACATGCCTGTAATCTATATAATGGGTTAGCTTCATCTGGATTTATAGACAGATATAGCTGGGTATCATCAGCATAACAGTGGAAATTAATCCCATGCTGTCTAATAATTCTACCAATTGGGAGCATGTATAAAGTAAAGAGAATTGGTCCTAGCACTGATCCCTGTGGTACTCCACAGGTAACCTTTGAGCATGTTGAAGATCTATCATTAACATGAATAAACTGAATTCGATCAGATAGATAAGATTTAAACCAGTCTAGTGCTGTTCCTTTAATTCCAACAAAATATTCAAGTCTTTCTAAAAGAATATTATGGTCAACTGTATCAAATGCAGCACTAAGATCCAACAGGACGAGCACAGATACAAGTCCATTATCTGAGGCCATGAGAATATCATTAGTGACTTTCACCAGAGCTGTTTCAGTGCTATGATGAGCTCTAAAGCCAGACTGAAACTCTTCGAAAAGTTCATTATGGTGGAAGTGATCGCAGACTTGTTTGGCAACTACTTTCTCAAGAATTTTGGATAAGAAAGGAAGATTGGATATAGGTCTATAATTGACCAAGTCATCTGGGTCAAGAGACGGTTTCTTAAGCAGAGGTTTAATTACAGCAATCTTAAAAGCTTTAGGTACATATCCCTGTAACAGAGATAGATTAATCACATCTAAAATGGAGGAGGAGATCAAAGGGAATACCTCCTTAAATAACCTGGTTGGAACTGGATCTAACATACAAGTTGAAGGCTTAGATGAAGACAATAATTTTGCTAACTCAGAGAGTTCAACTGGATCAAAGCAGTCTAAACCCGGTTCAGATTCCATGACTACCTCAGGTACAATCGCGGATAGAGGAGTGCTTATGATCTTATTTTTAATAAGATCAATCTTATTTATAAAGAATCCCATAAAATCATTGCTGCTAAGAGCAGGTGGAATGGACGGTTCAACAGAGCTATGGCTCTGGGTGAGTTTGGCAACTGTATTAAAAAGAAATCTAGGATTATTCTTATTCTCCTCTATTAATGAGGAGAAGTATGCTGCTCTTGCTTTACAAAGAGTCCTCTTATACAGCAGTAAACCATTTTTCCAGACTAGGAAGGACTCTCGCAGGCCTGTGGAGCGATATTTTCTCTCCAGTTTCCTAGCATTTTGCTTCAAAGTACGCAGCTCTGCATTAAACCAAGGAGCAAGCTTTCTATTTTTAACGGTTTTCATTTTCAAAGGAGCTGCGTTGTCTAAGGCAATACGCAGAGAACTAGCAACCCCCTCAACAAAATCATCAACCTGTGAAGGGGAATAAGCTAAGCTTTTGCACTCTGCAGCACTGCTCAGTGACACAGAGCAGAGAGAAAGTGAAGCAGATTCTTTAAAATTTATAAGTGCACTATCTGATAAAGATCTACTAAAATTGAACCTTCTTTTGGGGGAGGAGAACTCTGTTAAAGTAATCCTGAAGGTTATTAGAAAGTGGTCAGAGAGGACAGGGTTGTGAGGAAATACTGTTATTTCTTCACATTCTATGCCGTATGTCAGCACAAGATCCAAAGTATGAAGATGAGAATGCGTGGGACTATTCACATTTTGAACAAAGCCAATAGTGTCTAAGATAGCATTAAAGGCTGCTCTTAAGCTATCGCCTTCAATGTCAGCATGGATGTTAAAATCTCCCACTATGATGACCCTGTCAGTATTTAATACCAAATCAGAAAGGAACTCTGAAAACTCATCTAAAAATTCAGAGTAAGGACCTGGTGGACGATACAAAGTTACAAAAAGAAGAGGTTTTCTTGCCTTGAAATTTGGATCAGGGAAATTAAGGGTTAAATGTTCAAAAGAGTTGTAGGAATTGATTGTTTTGGGAGTAATCAGTAAGTCAGACTCGAAGATTGTTGCTACTCCTCCTCCTCGCCCAGAACTTCTGGGGATGTGAAAATTTAAATAGCTTGAAGGAGATCTGAAGGCTTTTAACTACAGTTTGTGGACTTCCTGATAGTAAAGAATTACAATAGTCCAGCCTGGTCACTTTAGTTTATTCTTTGTCAGTATTTAATAACAACTCAGGTCTCTTAAGT